AAAAAAAAACCCCACAAAAATTAATAACAATAATAAAAATTAAAAAATTAAAATAAAAGTAAAATGAAAAATAAAAAATACCTTCATCATGACTACGAGGAGAGCTAATGCTACTGGACGCGACAGGTGGAGGAGGAGTTGAGACTTCGGGGGGGTGAGAGTGAGGGTGACCTTGTGCCACGTCAGCAACTATTTTATTTTCAATTTTTGTAGGAGTTGCCCTCAAAGAATTATTATTGTTATTGTTATTAGAAGGAATATAAGCTTTGTTGTTCCTTTTCATTTGTGAACTTAAAATTGATGCATACGACATTTTTGGAGCATCTTCCACAGGAATTATTGAAGAAATTGATTCTTCAATAATCGGAGGTGGATGTATTTCGTTATTTTCAATTTCCAAAACATCTTGTGATTGCGAATGTGATTGTGTTTCTTCCACAATATTTTCCACTTCTTCTTTATCAACAGAAATATCAGGAGCTTGAGAAGGAGGATTGGAAATAGCAATTTCAAATAAATATTAGAGTAAATTACATGAATGGTCCCTATGGTTTGGGGTAATTTGCACGTTTGGTCCCTAACTTATTTTTTTAACTCGGAAGGTCCCTACAGTTTGTTTTTGTTGCGCACTTGGTCCCTGTCTTAGCTAAAAAGACTATTTTGCCCTTGATTTTTTAATTTATTTAAATAAACATACCCTCAACCCTACTTCCACCTCACCTCGCCTTACCTTACTTTACCTACCCCACTTTATTTAAAAAAAAGTTAAAAAAATAAAGGGCAAAATAGTCTTTTTAGCTAAGACAGGGACCAAGCGTGCAACAAAAACAAACTGTAGGGACCTTCCGAGTTAAAAAAATATATTAGGGACCAAACGTGCAAATTACCCCAAACCATAGGGACCATTCGTGTAATTTACTCTAAATATTAAAAAGTTGAATTTCTAATCTGGTCCCTGTGGTTTACTGAAAATCGCAAGTTTGGTCCATTTTTTGAAATCTACTCCAAGTTGTTCGTAAGTTTGCATTTTGTTTTTGTGGATTTGGTCAAGTTGAGTCCAATTTTGGACTTGCATATCGTTGTCAGATGGACTAAATCTGCAATAATATGTAAACTTAAGGGTTAATCTCGAAAAAGAGCTTATGATTTGTGTTTTTTTCGGATTAAACCTCGAATTATTACTTTTGCTGAAAAAGACTGTATTTTTTTGTTTTTTCTGATTTGAACCTTTTAGCATTTTTTTTCCAAAAAAATTAGTCTAAAATGTGAGGGTTTTTTCGAAAAGATTGAGGGTTAATTTGGAAGTATTTAGAAGGTTGAGGGTTTTTTTGGAAAAAAATACAAAGTTGAGAGCTTTTTTGGAAAACATGAAAAGATATACAATGTCTTTTTCAGGCAAAAAATAAATTTGAGGTTTAAATCGGGAAAAAACCAAATTATAAGGTTTTTTTGGATGAATTTAGAAAGATTTCAAAGATTGGAGCAAAATTTGCAATTTTGAGTAAAGCACAGGGACCAAATTTGTAATTTACTCAAAGATAAATCTAAGGGTAAACTACAAAAATCGTCCTCATGGAGTCGTGCTTTAATCTAATCTGTGCAGATTTAGTCCAAATGAGTTCCTATGGTTTGATTTTGGTCCTGAGACGTAAAATGACAATCTTACCCTTGTGTGAATTTTTTAACTTTTTTATGTTTTGTCTATTCTTTATAATTTTGTTGAGTAAATTACCTTTTTGGTCGCCAAATATAGCAGAATAATTCAAATTTGGTCTCAAAAAAGTTTTTTCTTGCAATTTTGGTCCTTATATGATGTTTTTGTAACATTTTTGGTCCTTGTTTCAAGTAAAATGACTATATATTTCATATTTGGGACCAAAATTGAAAAAATCAGCTAAACCCAAGGAACAAAAATGTCATTTTACTTGGAACAAGGACCAAAAACGTTACAAGAACCTCAAATAATGACCAAATATGCAAGAGAAAATCTTTTGGGACCAAAATTATAAAAATCAACTATACTCAGGGAGCAAAAATGTAATCCACTTTTTTTTAAATTTAAAAAGGGTGTGATGTGGTGAGCCCATTTCATTTTATAAAACTATAAACAATAAACAAAACAGAAGAAAAAAAACAAGGGTAAAACAGTCATTTAATGTCAGCCAGGGACTAAAACCACACCAATATATTAGCATGAGTTGACAAATCTTTATTATTCTAAATCTAAATATTGATTAGAAAAAATTGCAAAAATGGTCCCTATGGTTGTCAAAATTATGTGGTTTTGGTCCAAAATTGTTTTGTGATGCAAAAGAGGTCCAATTTTGGATACATTGTGTGTTTTTGGTCCAAAAATGTTAACTTTAACAGTTTGGCTGTTAACTTTTTTTAAAATGACAACTTTACCCCCAGGGACCATTTCTGCAACCAAACTAGAAGGACCATTTCTGCATCTTTTTTTATAAATAAAATTAAAAAGAAAAGATGCAGAAATGGTCCTTGTAGTTTGGTGGCAGAAATGGTTCCTGAGGGTAAAATTGTCATTTTAAAAAAGTTAACAGCCAAGCTGTTAAAGTTAAACATTTTTGGACCAAAAACACACAATGTATCCAAAATTGGACCACTTTTGCACCACAAAACATTTTTGGACCAAAACCACATAATTTTGACAACCACAAGGACCATTTTTGCAACTTTGTCTATTGATTAAATGAATGGAAAATAAAATATATATAAAAAAAAAGGTGCACCTTGGATTAAGGGTAATGTTTGGTTATCATCTATTCCTTCAACCACCACCAAATGATTATTATTATCATTATTATCATCCAATGATTTGATTTCATCAACATATCTGAAAACATCATTAAAGACGAAATAGCCCTTGTCTTGAGGGGCAAGAAAGAAACTTTGTATGAATTTCTTTCTTTGATTATCCACCTTTTTTATTAAGCACCCAGTTACTAAAACAATCACTCCATCTTTATTATAAGATTCTTGAGTGTCAGCAGTCTTTATTTCTGCCTTGTAAGCAGTGTAATCCAATGAACATATTTTCTCATTTATTCCCTGATCATTATAACCAATTTTTCATCAGGGGTAAGGGTAGTTTAGGTATTTCATAATAATATGCAATTCTAAACATGTAACATTGATTTTGGTCTTCAGTCCTGACAAGGGTAATTTAGGATACAAAATTTCAGGGAAATTTTACATTCTTGTGAAATTTTGTATCCTAAATCACTCAACTTTGAGTTTTTTATATCAGGGGTAACTTGTAAGGGTAATTTAGGTATTTGATTATGCAATTTCATATCAGGGGTAAGGGTAATTTAGTATACAAAATTTCACAAGAATGTAGAATTTCACTTTAATGAGTTTTTTTTTTTTTTACATTCTTGTGAAACTTTGTATCTTTTTTGTTTCAACTTTTGTAATTTTTGACTTTTAGTGATGATGATGTGGACCTATGACGTGGCAAACATATTGAAACAATTTCATTCAATAGTAACCAAGCCTGCCAACTGCCAAGTCATAGTTCCATTTCCACATCAGCAACAAGTCATCGCCACGTCATCACCAAAAATCTAAGGTACTTAGGTGGAACAAATTTGAAACTTGGTTACTATTTACTGACATTATCCCATAAAACTTATAATTTTCATCCAAAATGGAAAGTAAAATGTTTATTTTTTTTTAAAAAAAAAAAACTTACTTTCATGGTAGTCACGGTTATCATTACACCATCTTCATCAGGGCGGCTTATAAAACTCGGCTCCTGATAAAATTTTATGAACCATGTCTGGAGAGTGGTGGAGTATATGGTAATACTGCTCAACAAAGGCATTCCCAACCACTTGTACACTTGGAGTTGTTGAAGGAGCTTCACTTTGTGTTGACATTATTCTAATTACCATGAAAAAAATCTATTAGTAGATTTTTTATAAAATGGACAAAAAGAAAATGAATCCTTGTATTGTGTAATAATTGAGATCTTGATTATTATTAGGTAAGTTGAGGAGTGTAGTACTATGAATCTCATAGGTTAGTTAATGAGTAAATATATAATGTAACAAATAGATTAAGTGATAAATAAATAAAGCAAGATAAGTCTTCTACATATCATTGTAAGTTGAGTGTGAGTCAGATTGGGTTCTAGATTAAGTGAAAAATTGGGACTTTTTAAAACTGGTTGGTTTCTTGATGGAAACAAGGGAATGTTTCTTGAATGTTTGTGTAAAATAAGGTTTAGATCCAACTAAGTAACAGGTATACATCTGGATTGGGGCATTTGGTTCATGTTATATTTTGGCATCTGTATTGGAGAGGAAAAAATTGTTGCTTATGATTCAATCAATTATCAATGGCTATCTATGAAAGTTTTAGACTTTTAGCGATTTATTTGGGTTTCACATAGCTTCTCCTTATTCTACTCTTGTTTTCTAGTCTTTGTTTGAATTACTCGTTAGATTAATTCAGCATTTTGAATAGAACTAATTCATAAAAGAAGAGGCATAGACAGGTAGTTACCCCGATCAATCAACTTATGAAAATACAACAGATATCACACTAGATCCAACAGCTACTACTGTATACAGGAATTTCATAAAAATCTGAAGAAAAATGTAAATGCAAACTGCGTAATTAATAACAGCAGCAGCGCAATGCTGATAATGCGAATAAATTAACAACGCACTGAGAATCTTACAGGAACGAGAAACTACCAGGAATAATATGCAATTAATAACTCGTCTGGGGAAAGAAAAACCCTAAATAGTAATAGTTGTGGTTTAAATGATCGAAAAAAAAGGAATGGTGAATTGACAGATTGAAATTACCTGCTTGTTATTGAAACTGAAGATGAAGATCAAGATGAAGAGATGTTGCTGATATGATGTGGACGAAAATGGAGCGATTGAGATGAGTAGTTCGAAAAAAAGTGAGTGCATAAGCTACCTGCGGAGTGATGGAGTTTGTTGCAGCTGGGCTTTTGGGGCGAGTATTTTAGGTTTGGTTCTTTGATGACCTAATATTACAAAAAAGTACTCCAAGTTTGAAAAGGTTACTTTTTAGTCCCTCATTGGATTTTTTTTTGTTAGAATTTGTTGGTAATAATTAATAAACAATATATTTTAATAACTTTATAAAGTTATTTTATATTTTTTAATACAACATCTTAAAATTGGGTTATAATTATAATCATTTTCTTTAAAACAATATAGCTTTTTAATACAATGTTATAAATTTGTTTTATATTTTCTTTTTTTTAATTTTTTTTACACTTCTTATAACTTATCTTTAATGAAAGTACTTTTAAATGTTATAAAAAATATAGAAAAAAAATTATGAAACATTTTAAACATATTGTAAAATAATATTTTGAAAGGATTTTATCATAGTTATAAAAAAAATATATGAGAATGTAAAAAAATTAGAACTTTTAAAAAAAAATAAAACGTCAACAAAATATTTTGTTTAAAAACAGTTGTATAAAAGTTATATCAAAGTATAAAACAATGTAAAATATTGTAACCCAAGTTTAAAACATTGTATTAAAAAATATAAAACAACTTTATAACTTTTTTGTAAATAATTATAACAAGTAATATTTTTTTTCTATAAAAAATTATAAAAATGTTGTAAAGGAATTTTTTTTTATAAAAACAAAACTATAAACAAATAAGAAAAATATATTGAAAAAAAATCTAAAAAAGTCTTTAAAAAGTTTTAGAAAAATTAATTTGTAAATTAAACTAATTTGAGACGAAATTGAAATAAAATCTAATGTTCAGCCAAATTCATAACAAAATTTAAAATGTGGGCCAAAAGTATAAAATTGTAAAAAGGTTGACATATTTATCCTCATATAGATTACATGAGCTGGTTATCCTTTTAAATATGTTTGTTGGCAACTTAAAGGCAAACAAAATAGTTACTTTCCAAAAAAAAAAACAATGATAACCCAATAATTAAAAAATAAAATGACTTGAGTTTCTATATCCTTCCATCTAATATGTAGAGGATGGTTCAATTGAGAAAAAAATGTTGAGAATAGGGGATCATTCTCAGCCAATCATTTAATTAGCATCAAAGCATAAAAGACATGGTGGCAAAGTTGTAAATATGATATAATAACTTTCAATTGCAGATACGTAGTTGTGGATAATTAGATAACAGTTCAAATTCATTCCTAATCCATCGTTCATCATCCAAATTTCTCCAACCTTCAAAAATCATCCAGATTTCTTCAATTAAACCCTCGATCAACATCATCCAGCATTAATCAATCATCGATCTTCATCAATAACACATTTATCAACATCATTCAATAGTAGACAGCAAAAGTGCGTTTTTGGTTCTTTCAATCCAACCTTCAATTCTGCTTGAATACGAGCATATCTTCAACATATGCGATTAATTATACTCTCAATGTCATTAGATCAACATCCTCAATAATCAACAACAGATCCACTTCATATCATTCATTCAACATTGATCATCAAACAAAACTTCAAAATTAAGGTTAGAAAAACATCAAATCATTTATTTTTTGAAAAAATTCATATAATTCTCTATCAGTCTACTATTTTGTCAGTTTTAAATAGTCAAAGTATCATGTTTTTAACATTTTTTAAAAAAGCTAACTTGTATGCACTCCAGCTGTTTGATGAAATGCATAAACTAAATTACCACGTTACATTCACATATGAATATGTTTTCGCACTTGAATCAGTTTACGATTATTAAAACACAAAACAAATGCAAGTCTGTATGTTATTTATATGTGAATAACATATAAAAATTATATCTATTTCTGAATACACCTTGTAATATTCATAAGTGAATACAACATCTAATATTCACAAGTGAATATACTATGTAATATTCACAAGTGAATGCATCGTTTAATATTTAAATATGAATATATTGTGTGATATTCACAAGTGAATATACTATATAATATTCATATGAGAATATACTTTGTAATATTCATGAATGAATATACCATGTAATATTCAAATATGACTGTAATGTATAATCTTCACAAGTAAATATACCATATAATATTCACATGTGAATCTACCATATATTACTCATATGTGAATGTACCGTGTAATATTCACATGTAAATATAGCATGTAATATCACATGTGAATATATAATATAAACAACATATAGCATATAATATTCACATATGGTTATACCTTCATGTATGAATATATCATGTGATAATTAGAATGTGATAAATCGCTATTATGATGAACTAACAATATATTTTTATTAACATTTTATGTGTATTCACATGTTTGTCAGGAATGGCTATAACTCAATATATGAATAACATTTCAATCGATGGTTGGTTCACATCCCAATGGTTGACGATTGGTTGACATAAATAAGAAGATATCATTGATGAAGACAATATATTTTTATATTCATGTGTAAATGTTATACAATGTAATATATTCTTCATTTTGACCGTTTTAAATTCAAATGCAAATGATATTATTAACCAATACAATGTTGTTTGTCTCAGTATAATGTAAAATTTATATGTAAAATAATATTGTTACAATATACAAAAAAAACTATTCACAAACCAATTCTTATAGTGTATTACTAGATGATGACTCGTGTAAAACGCGGGGGAACATATAAAAAAATACATATAAAGTTATAAAAAGCCGACACAATATTCAGATATGGTTCCTGTTTTTTCGAAAGTAATAAAAGTAAATAGCAATATACTTTTAAAGTACATTGCTATAAGTTGTAATGTTGTTTTTCTATAAAGTTGTAAAGTTTTTTTCTTAAGTAACATTATTTACAGCAGTGTACTTTCAAAGTACATTGCTATATTCAATAAATATGTTTTGATGCAAAACTGATATTTATAAAACACTTTTGCTTGACTGACATTTTATAAAACCAACATAATAAGCATTTTATAAAAAATCTCCATTTATGCAAAAACTGAAATTTCAATAAAAATGCAGAAATAATAATAAAGTACATTAAATTCTTGTTTGTATATTTTTTTATTGGCTTTGATCTAACACTTATTTGAACCTCAAAAGTAAGGGCACATCTAACGACCTTTTTATTTTGAACGAAATTGTTCCACTTACAACAACCAGAATAAAATTTCTTAATTATAGTATGTTATCATAATAAATTAAAAATAAACTGTAAGAATCATAAAAAAATAGTTAAAATCATATCAAAATCATAAATAATCATATAATACGAAATTAAATTTTAGATTATAATTGTATCCACAGCAAAGCGAATATGACAGTTCTACCCTTGGTTAGAGTTAGATCATGTCCTTAGAGTTGAAAAATTAATGAATTCTACGTTACATATAATTAACTATAACAGAATATTAACATTTTGTTAAACTGGGTTTTAAACCTATTACATCATATTAGACAATGTGAAAATTTGCATATATGTATAAATTTACGATAATACCCTATCAATGCTATAAAAAAGACACCAATGAAAGTAGATTGTTGTTTTTTTTATATTTAATCATTTTGCATTTAATGAAATGAAACTTTATCATTGTAAAAATGTAGTATATAACACAGAGTGTATTATCGGCAATCATAATTCTGAAATGAATATTTTTTTCTTATGTTTTGGTAATATACTTTGAGAATTGTGGATGTGTATTATTATCAATCTGAAAGTAGAATGTTATTTCTTTAATTTCTTCAAAAACAATGAAACAACCTAAAGGTTGTTCGTAATGTTCTTTGAGAATTATTTAGGGGTATTATTGTCATTATGAAAGTAGAATGTTAATAATCCTAAAAATGATGAAAATAACTGCAATAACATATTAGATGTCAATAAAAAATATGAAAGTACAATGATAGGAGTATTATCGTAAATTTCAAATGAATATTGTTTAGTTGGGTTTTTGTAATTTACTTTTCAGAAAAAGCCCCATAAATAGACACAAAACAACACCACCAAATCAATAATGGAAATATTAGCAATTTGAACCTGTAAATAATCAATTGTTGAATCGCATTGTTGTAATTGTAATTTCTGCTCTTGCACTTGGTTTATGAGTTGACCAACTTGACTTTTCATATCATTATTCTCATCCTTCTCCGTTTTATGCTTTTCAGCAAGAATAATATTCTCTACCTATATCAAATCAATAAAGGAAAATATTAGCAAAATGAGAAACTTTATACATAATGAAAAATGACAATACATTTTTTAAAAGTCAGAAACCTTAAAATCTGACTGCGGTGCAAAGTAACTTTCCAAGCTTTCTGAACTTCATTGAATAGTAACACACACCGATCATTTACAACTTTAAGTGCTTGTTTTGTCCCACAAGATCCTGTTTCTGATCAAGACTTTCTTTTTCTTTTTCATAAAACTCCTTGCAAGCATCATTTTCCTACATTAAAGAATGCAAATTATGCCCCACGATATAAAAGAAAATAGAGAAGATAAGGGAAAAATAATCATTTCTACAAACTTACAGTAAATTAAAAACACATTTGATGGACCTGAGAAATTAAAAAACACAAAAAGAAGCAATCGGTCTTGAAAAAAGTTTGTAAAAACGAATAAGTATTTCATCAAACAGTTCTTATACAAAAATCGAAAATAAAAACGAATAATTATTTCATGGTTTAAAACCTATAGATAAGACAAAAAATTAGGATTTAGAGTAGATGTAGATCCAATCAGCTCATAAAAACCACAAGGGACTTAATTTGTAAACATCTTAAAGAAGATAAAATTTTAAGTGTGAATAGAATCACATCCCCAATAAAAACGTAAAAAACAAATCTTGTTCTTTTAAAGGGGAGAGTCACAACAGTAGGGGGGCATTGGTTACAGTGTAGTTGTTTAGGGTTAGCATAAGGAGAAAGTTGGTTTTTTTGAATGTCAAATGAAGAACTTAAAATTATTCTGAGTTTTAGAGAAAAAAGAAAATAAAAACAACCAAAATTCAAAGAAAATGCAC